CTACCAGCAATGGCTTTGCCCTCTGTGGCCCTCTGGGCCCTGGCCACTGCAGCTGCTGCTCTGGGACCACAAGACTCATGAAATCAGGGTTTCTTTGGCTGGCCACATGGAAGGGCTGCGTCCACATCTGGCTGGCAGCCAGCTGGCTACTCGTTGGGCATCACGGGATGGTTGGCATGGCACAAAACACCTTCAAATGTTATTTAAGGCTCTGATGTCAGAGATTTGTATGGAATACCTGATCTTTGCTGGACACGTGTGCATGATCCACATTAAGTTTGTTCAGGATTCAGAGAGAGCTGGGGTCAAAGTCTGGCTCTGCCATTCACAGGCTCGTGTGACTTCTCCAAGCCTCACTTCCTGTCTGTGGCACAGGAACAACAATAACCCAAGTGTCCCAGGCAGGTGTGCCGTGAGATGGGTCAATGCCCAGCCTCCCACCCTCTGGAGGGCAGCTCAGAGGCACCTTCCCGCCAGTTCCTTGGGCGCCCCAGCCAGGTCAAGTCCCCGTGGGTCCTGCCAGACGCCGCAGCCTAGGTTATTGGTGCTTTCTTTCCTCTTTCTCACGCCTTTTGCCTTTTCACTGGTGCTATGTGAAATCCTCGCCCAGATACAGTGCTGTGCCCAAGACCTTCTTGTCTCGGGCTCTGTTTCCAAGCAGAACCCCAACTGGGACTGGCAGATACAAACAGTGCCCTGCACGGTGCAGGCTCATGCCCACCTGCCTCGTTACCAGGTGTCTCTTCCAGGCAAAGGACTCTATTTGGGTGCAAAACAGGAAAGCGGCTGCTGGCTGCAGGAGGGTGGGAGTGGTGGCCACTAAGGCACTGTGGCACTAGCTGACCTGCTGGTCCCTCAGGCCTCGGGTCTGATGGAGGCCGTGTCCTCCATAGGAACATCTGGCCCAGAGCAGGCGAGGGCTGGCCAGGCCAGCTGCCCAGAGAAGGCACAGTGGAGAGGGATGGTGGGGTGGATTTTGATTGATTGATTGATTGCTTAATTGATCCACCTGGTTGCTCAGGATCCTTGCTCCTCTGGGAGCTGACTGTCCCAGAATTGGATGAGGGCACAGGTGGTTCCTGCTCATGTGGTGGCCCTTTCCTTGCTAACATAACATGGAGCAGGCGTTTCTAACTGCTTTCGTTTAGGCTTTCACCTGCGAGTCGCCCTGCCTCGTCCTGCCTCTCCCTGCGCGAGGGTCCCCGGGAGATCCTCTTGTGTTTGCGGTGAGCAGGAAGCTGTGGTTATCGTCTGTCCCGAGGCCGTGAGGCTGCATTTCTGGGGAGCTCCTGAGAACACATTTGGTTGTTTTTTTCCTCCTGATGTGAGTTCCTTAACCAGAAGCAGGCAAGGCCCTCAGAGCCCTGGGCAGAGTCCTGCAAAAGAGGGAATGCACGGCCTGCTTGACGGGAATTTCCTGGGGGAAATGCACAAATGCAGCAAAGCATTTTTTTGGGGAGTTTCTGGGGGTTGCTGCTGTAAGCTCTTTGTATAGAGAAGGGAAAAAATAGTTTTCTATTAGCCAAGAATTATATTTACCACTGGGGACCAGAATAGAACATGTGGCCTGCATTCAGTTTGCCACTTTTAAGGAATTCTGTTTTGTCACGCGGCCCAGATGGAGATGTCGATTTGGTTCCGGCTCCTCCGGGCGCTCCTGCCACTTGACTTTCTCCTTTCGTCTGTGCGACCATATGCAGCCTTTCTCGTCGGAAGAGAGGGAGGGGCTGCGGAGGGGACGGTGGGGGGCTATGTGCAGTCTGGGAAGGGCCCGGATTTGGAGGCCGTCTCTAGCCCTGTCCCCTCCTGGCTCTGTTGGCGACCTTGGGCAGGTCTCTTCTCCCCTCTGAGCCTCCGTGCACCTGTACATGGTCCCCATAAGGAACTTCCTGCCCTCAGTGGTGCTTGCCAAGACTGGATGTTAGATCGATGTGAAAATGCCTCGTAAACTGTGAATCACACTACACACATCAGCTGTCACTCTTCCAGCAGCTGTAGTAGTGCTTTGTGGCATGTGGCTTGATGGCAGTATTCACGGTGAGAAGATAGACCTGTCTGTGTTCAGAGACGCTGCAGGTCAGGCGCCATTTGTCCCACCCTTGGGGAAGTCTGTTCCCCACATGTTGGCCCCTAGGGGGTCAAGCTCTCCTGGGTAGTGGGACATTTGCCGACATCTGTACCTTTACTGGGTCGCAGAGCTGAGCAGGGCTGGGCTTCCTCATGGCCTGGATCTGTATATGGTGTAGTGCTGGGGTGTTTCCTGGGCCATGGTGTTGGGGTGCTACCTGGGCTATGGTGTCAGGGTGCTACCTGGGCATGGTGTTGGGGTGCTACCTGGGCTATGGTGTTGGGGTGCTACCTGGGGTATTACCTGGGCTGTGTTGTTGGGGTGCTATGTGGGCCATGTTGTTGGGGTGCTACCTGAGGCATGGTGTTGAGGTGCTACCTGGGCCATGGTGTTGGGGTGCTACCTGGGGCATTGTGTTGTGGTGCTACCTGGGCCATGGTGTTGGGGTGCTACCTGGGGCATTGTGTTGTGGTGCTACCTGGGCCATGATGTTGGGGTGCTACCTGGGCTTTGGTGTTGGGGTGCCTCCTGGGCCATGGTGTTGGGGTGCTACCTGGGCCTTGGTGTTGGGGTGCTACCTGGGGTGTTGTGTTGGGGTGCTACCTGGGCCATGATGTTGGGGTGCTACCTGGGCCTTGGTGTTGGGGTGCCTCCTGGGCCATGGTGTTGGGGTGCTACCTGGGCCTTGGTGTTGGGGGTGCTACCTGGGCTGTGGTGTTGGGGTGCTACCTGGGCTGTGGTGGTGGGGTGCTACCTGGAGCATTGTGTTGGGGCGCTACCTGGGCCATGCTCTCTGGCTCTCCTTCTCCCTGCTTACCCCTCTTGGAGGCTCCAGAGAGGCTGCCCTGACAAAGAGAAGGCTTGCCATGAATGCTGACTTCTGGGGAGGGCTGGAATGGAATGTTCTTTCCCAGAACTTTGGCTTTTTCCTCAGGTAGTCTACACATTTTTTTTTTTTTTTGTAAAACATCTTATCTTTCTGCCAAATCAGACTAGGCGTTATCAAAAGTTATGCCACCTATTTTGCCAAACAGCTAAGGTCTTTACAGACCTCCACCAGGCTCTTTTGGAGGTGGCCTTTGATGGGTTTCCTGCTGGCTGTGACATTCCTGCCCACAGAAATGGGCCACATGGACATGGCGTCAGGGCAGGTGTGGACATGCCAGGTCTTCGGGTCAGCCTTTCTCCCCTGGCTTGTCTGAAAGCTTTGCTGTATCGGCCTGTAGACCCTAATCAGGACACTTAATTTTGTGGGTTTTTTTCAGCTTATAAGAAAAATGAAAGATATTTCCAGCAGCCATCACCCCAGAACATAACAAAAAGATTTCTCTTGGGTGAACCCAATAGACCCCTTGAATTTCTTGAAGATTTATGGTTTTCTTAATAAGTATACTTTCTGGGGGGAATGACTGCAGATTAATCTGAAATGATTTGTTAATTGGCACAATCCACTAGCTGTTTTTGGTATTTCAACTTGGTCTTCAAAATCCAAATCGACCCCACAGACCTGCCCACCTCCTGTCTTTGTCTGGTCGCCCACTGCCTTGCTGGTCTGTTCGTTTGTTCATTCCTTCGTGACACCCCTCCTGTCCCAGGCTCTGGAGACAGAGCCGTGAGCACAGCCGGACGCAGTCCCTATGCTCAGGAACAGACGCTGGACGGGCGAGCAGAGCAGGGGCGGGGCTGCCCATGCCCTGCCCAGGTGTCCTTTCCCGCAGGCACACCTGTCTTCCAGCTGCGGAGAGTCTCAGCCATGGGTGGCCCACCGCTGCTCCCACCTCTGCAAAAGTGCCCTGGGGAGGCTGCGTCTCCCATCCCCCAATTGGTCAGTCTGTAGCCAGAGGCCAAGTGCAGTAGCCACGGCAGCCCTTTGTTTCGAGTGGGGGCAGCCTCATGCTCCTTTCCACCCTCTCTCCCTCCCTCCCTTGATGCATCACGTGCACCCAAACCCCTGCATCAGGCTCTGCTTAGAGGCAACTTGGCCCAAGACAGGTGTTATTAGAGCCCATCAAAGGAGGGTTTGGTTCTGGCGGGGAGGTCAGGAAGGCCAGTTTAAGGAGGTGATGCCTGAGCTGAGATTTACAGGCTCTGCTGGAGCTCATTAGCTTTAATCAGCTCGGGAGTGAAGGGAAGGGAACTCAGGAAGAGGAGCAGCAAGTGCAGCACGGTGGTGGGGAGGAAGCATGACTGAGGGCTGCAAGGAGGCCAGTGTTGCTGGAGCAGAGAGAGGGAAGCACAGGGTGAGAAGCAGCTGGGAGGTCAGATCAGCGGGAGTGTCCAGGCAGGAGGCTCTCCAACTGGGGGCAGCATCATCACACACAGGGGCCAAGCAGGGCCTTGGAGAGTGGGGTGGGAGGAGCCCAGCATGCTGCAAAATGCTAGCTCTGGACTTCCACGTCCTGGTCCAGCAATTATGTACGATATCCCTGGGCCCCAGTCAGGGTCAGATGTACCTTGCGAAGCGTTCTGCAATCTCACAGTGGCGACAACTTGCACAGGTGTCCATTTATTAGGAGTGTTTATTAGGAGTGTTTATTTTCCTAGGTGTTTACAATAACGTGCTTCCTTTCCTTTAACCAGAGACCCCTTAGAGCAGGGGTCCTCAAACTTTTTAAACAGGGGGCCAGTTCACTGTCCCTCAGACCGCCGGAGGGCTGTTGGAGAGTGCGGTGCACGTTCCACACATGCGCACTGTGGGCCCGGGACCAGTCAGCTGCTAAGCAGGACAGGCAGTGGCGGCAAAAACACCCGGCAGGCCGCATGTGGGCCGTGGTTTGAGGACACCTGCCTTAGAGTCCAAGGCACCATCTTTGGGGTCAGGGGAACAGAGGGGGAGATGGCTGCTTTGTGGGGAGGATGGTTGAATTCTCGGCATCCTGAGCTTTCCCTGACATATGTAGAAGTAAAGGCGTCTCTTTCTCTCCCTTTTTAGGTAAAAAAAGCAACAGAAAAGGCATGAGAACCAAGAGCTTGGAGAAGGCTGCCAACGATGATCACAATGTCCCTGTGGCCCATGAAGATGTCAGAGAGAGTAAGTGAGGCTCCCAGAGAGCCCCTGCCACAGTCCTGTCACCTGTCCTGGGAGGGCGGGAGGGTGCAGGCCCTGGTGTAGCAGCCCGACTGCAGATTCCCCGGCGTGGGGCTGCCTGGGGGCTGCTGTCTATTCTTATCCGTCGTGCGGGGGTGAGAACCTCCCCCAGCATCTGCAGCGCGTCAGACCTCACAGCCGGATTTCCCTGACTGATTCGACTAAAGTCATTTCTGAATTTCCTGGAGCTCCTCGTTGTTTTCCCTTCCTCTCCCTCTTTGAAGACAACCTCGTTTCCTTTCTTATGGGAACTCTTAGCTGCCCACAGCCTTGGTGTGCATTTCTTACGTCCCATCCCAGCCCAGAAGCCTCTGGGGTCAAAGATCAAGTCTTCTGCTTTCAAAATACGCAGTGCTAGGCCTGCTGTCTTGCGGTCATGTGAACATATTGGTCCTTTACCTGCCTACCTTAGAATGTTCAAAGGTATTAGTTCTAGACTCATGAATAAGCTCTGGCCTACTAGCTATGGCTATTACTATTACTGTGTCTTTATTATTCTAACCTGTGGTGTCCAGGATCACATTTCTGCTAATATTAGTAATAGCAGCCACTTATTGAGCACTTGTGTAGTTGTCAGGCACTTGGCCCAATATTTGACATCTCCCAGGGCCCCTCTGAGTGGGTATTATGATTGTGGTACTGTGGGTATTATTATTATTATCATCCATATCTTACAGACGAGGAAAATGACTTGGTAAGCGGGCAAATTGCCTAGGATCATGCAGCTTGTAAGCAGCACAACAGGGATCTGAACCCAAGATTTTCTCATTCTGGACTTTTTGCTTTGCAATATGGGCTGCTCAAAATAAACAGTGCATTTCACAAATTCGCATCTGCCGAGGCAGCACTCGTTTTCCGCTGACATGCGAGCCTTAAGCCGGGTAACGGACTGGTTGTCACAGAGGGACCGCATGTTTCCTTAGGCAGAAAGTAATGAATGAGGCTGCGCTTCTAACCGAGAGTTCGCCACCAAAAGAATCACAGAGGTGACTAAAGCACCTGCTAAAACACAGGCAGAGTCAACAGCAGTGAACTTTTGCCGTCACTCACCCAATGTGAAGCACATTCCGTCTTAAAGCCGTGCCCCTCGCCCCTCGAGAGGATTCCGTATGTTTGGGAGAGGGTATGCACGCAGTGTGGTGCTGGGCTGTGTTTTGTGCTGACTCACCCTGACGGTGTGGTCCTTTGACAGCTCACCCGAGCGGGGGCAACGGGACTCCCACCTGGAGCGGCCTTGGACGTCGACTTTTTGTGCTCTTGCGCGAGCAGGCTGACACGGCACCAGCTGTTTCCTTAGGATCACAAATGCCACATGGCTTTGAGTGTTGACCTCACCTCTCTGGGTTCTTGCTGCCATCAGCTCTGAGCCTGGTAGTTGTTCACTGTCTTGTTCATTCTTAAATGCTTTCACACATATTTGAAAACATATTTTGTCCAGATTTTTTTAGCAGCTTCCGCAGAGGGTTGGTTTGAATTATGTTGGTTCTTCGTTACCAGAATTGGATGTTGTTGAAATTCTGGGAGGCATTTTCAGAAGGATTTGGGGAAGCCCATTTCTATACACACACACACACTGATGTCTGAGCTTGACCCCTTTTCTGCCATGGCACACCCCCTCCGCATAGCCCACCTTGCCTTGGCCCACCCGGGGTGTCCCCTGACCTTGAACTCGCAGCTCTGTCAGGTTAGGGTCATTATTCTCAAAGACAGCTAACGTGGCTCCAATTCACTGAATGCCCGAGATGTCATTTTTAGCCTGTGACATTTTTCCTTCTACTAAAGGGAAAAAAGGAGGGGTTGAGGACAATTAGGGACAAAAGCGACTGGCGGATCCCTGACGTGTGGATGGTGGCCGTGGCGGCGATGTGTGTGGTGGCAGGGTGGGGTAGCAGTGAGGAACGTAGGCCTGGCATCAGGGGCTGAGCACATGGGGCCTCGGATGTGCACTGGGGCATTTTCAGGACCCTGAGTCCATCTGCCTCTTAGCATGTCCTGGGGTTGCACTGGGGGCCTCAAGGGACATGTGGAAGAATGCTGGGGTGCTACGGATGCCAACTACGTCACAGTCAAGGTGGTGGCCAGTGCAGATGTTAGCCACATCGTGTCGTGTGAGTGGATGGCATTAAAAAACGTGTCTCTAACGTGGAAGTCGCCCTCGGGGAACATCCACTTTAAGGGACAGGATATGTCCATGGCCGTCATTGTGATTAAGCAGCAGCGTCAGCTGTGGCAAGCATCCAGCATACTTTCTCGATGTTGTTCCCTAACAGTTTATGAAGTCGCTTGAGTCGTTGCTCTAATTCTTCACCTTTCCCCATGCCCACACCCTTTGCCATGTATTAATAACTTTTCCCTTCCCTTTGCAACAGGCGAAAGTCCCTTGGCTTTGGGCTGGCCCATGTGCCTTGTTGAGGCCAACAGACTAAGGTGAAGGGGCCATGTGCTCGTTCTGAGCTGAGGCTTTGCTTGTTTCCTTTGCCTTGTGGGCCTCTGCCGTCTCCACGAGAATGATGTGCCCCTAGACCACTGGTCCAGGGGGGCTGAGCCATGAGCGGAACAGACAGGGCCCAACCTGCAGCCCAGGGCCACCTGGCGGAGCCCAGCTGCTCTACAGGGGCCTGGGAAGTTAATGCCGATCGTGCTGGGATTTTTAATGCCCCAGTTAATGCCCCAGAGTGCTGGGATTTTTTTAAATATTTTTTTTTTTTGAGACAGAGTCTCGCTTGTTGCCCAGGCTAGAGTGAGTGCCGTGGCGTCAGCCTAGCTCACAGCAACCTCAAACTCCTGGGCTCAAGCAATCCTGCTGCCTCAGCCTCCCGAGTAGCTGGGACTACAGGCATGCGCCACCATGCCCGGCTAATTTTTTTTATATATATTAGTTGGCCAATTAATTTCTTTCTATTTATAGTAGAGACGGGGTCTTGCTCTTGCTCAGGCTGGTTTCGAACTCCTGACCTCGAGCAATCCGCCCGCCTCAGCCTCCCAGAGTGCTAGGATTACAGGCGTGAGCCACCGCGCCCGGCTGAGTGCTGGGATTTTTAATTGATTTTCCTATTCTCCATCTATAAAGACCCCAGTTCAAAAAGAATAGATCTTTCCTTGTGGTTTTTAGTTGTGGCTTTGCATTTTTAGTTTTCTTGATATTTGGGCTTATTTTAAATATTTTTCTATGTATTTATTTATTATTTATCTATTTTTTTTACTTCAGCATTGTTTTTCGTGGCTGTGGAAGCCACGTCTCTTGGATTACATATTTAGGATGAACAGTTTCTGGATAAAATATTTTCCTGACTACTACATCCAATCTCTTTTAAAGTGACATTATTTCTCTAAGTCTTTCGGATGGTGTACCTCTTTTTAGGTTCTGCTTGTGGCATTTTTGTCCCTCAGAGACTGCACGTTAGTGTGTTCTCTACTCTTCTTTGACTGAGGCAAGCCCCAGCCAAAGTTTCCCCAGGAGGGGCAGTCAAGCCTTTTCTCAGATCTACCACTGGTGACCAGGTGGACATGCAGATCCCCTAGCACGGGCCCGTGCCAGGTTCTAGCAGTCTTTTGTCTTTCACATATTTTTGCCCTTCTAAGGTGTCAATTTCAAGCCTCCCTCCTGCTCCCAGCCAGTAACTACTACCCCTGCTCCTCAAAGACAAACATCGTCAGAGACTACTTTTGCCTGTTTTTGAACTTAATAAAATTCTTGGGAACATACTTGGTACACTCTTGTGTCTGACTTCTTTTGCTCAATACTGTATTTATGAAATTCACGCACATTGTTGTATGCAGTGTGGTATACCGTGCTATATTGATTTATAGTATTCCATTGCATAATTATACCGCGAACTATTTATTCATTCTCATATTGATGGGCATTCGGGTTGTTTCCAGTTTTTGGCTATTAAAAGTGGTGTTGTTAGGATCATTCTCGCATCTGTCTTTTGGTGTATGTATGAATGCATTTCTGTTGGGTGTAGACCCAGAAGAATTGCTGGATCATAGGGTATGAGTATTTAATAAGTGCTCTAGAGATTTTTCCAAATTGATTGTACCAATTAACACTCCTAGTAGCAGCGAATGAGAGTTTCAGTTGCTTCACTTCCTCATCAGCATTTGATATTGTCAGTCTTTAATTTTATTCATATTGGTGGATGTATACTGATATCTCATTGAGCTCTTAATTTGCATTTTCCTGATAATTAATGACTGATTGCCACTAGGATAACTTCTTTTGTGAATACCTACTTAGGTCTTTTGCTCGTTGTTTTCCTTATTGGTTTATTGGAGGGTTTTTTGTTTGTTTGCTTTTCTTAAAAAATGCTCTGGACGTGGTGCTGTGCTGGATAGATGCACAGCAGATATCTTCTCCCTCTCCTTGGCTCACCTTTCACTCTAGCAACACTGTCTTTTGAATAACATGCTCTTAAGTTTAATATAAACCAATCATCAGTATTTTATGTTGTGGTCAGTACTTTTTGTTTCACATTAAATTTTGTTTTCTGCCCCAAGGTTACGAAGATATTTTCCTATGTTATCTTCTAGTGATAAGTTTTCCTTTTACACTAACAAAGTTTCATTAAAATAATTTGACTTAAACAAAAATATGAAGTGAATACTAGTGCAGGTGGTACATGGGGCATAGAAAAATTCATGAGGATGATAAAAAGCAAATGATTTAAGGTCTGAGAAATGCCCTTTTGAACCAATAATTCCTTTCTCGGGCTCTATAAGCAATGTATAAAGAACACAATATCAGTTTTCCGTGACGACGCAGACATGGGTTATCAGCGATATCGGGTCATCGTGCGCGTTCATCCATAGTTTGGGGAAACATAGGCTGGCATTGGGAACTCAAGGCTGAGCACTCATCACTGCCCCTGCAGCTCCCAGCCTCCGCAGGGGGACAGCTTAACTGCGGCGCGGACAGTGTGAACTCTTCTGGGAGGCTGGAC